ATTGCCAGTGTTTCAAGTAGGCATACTCACGAATGAAAGTCAGTTGCGTAACTGCCTGTCTGTGTCATGTCTACATTCTGTAAATAAAACTAAGGGATGCTACGACATCGTCTGTAGTGGCTACCCCCCTCTTTTTTTAATGATTTGTCTTAAGGGATGCTACGACACCGTCTGTAGAGTGGCTACCCCCCTCGTGTTTTGAATGATTTGTCTTAAGGGATGCTACGACACCGTCTGTAGAGTGGCTACCCCCCTCGTGTTTTGAATGATTTGTCTTAAGGGATGCTACGACACCGTCTGTAGAGTGGCTACCCCCCTCGTGTTTTGAATGATTTGTCTTAAGGGATGCTACGACACCGTCTGTAGAGTGGCTACCCCCCTCGTGTTTTGAATGATTTGTCTTAAGGGATGCTACGACACCGTCTGTAGAGTGGCTACCCCCCTCGTGTTTTGAATGATTTGTCTTAAGGGATGCTACGACACCGTCTGTAGAGTGGCTACCCCCCTCGTGTTTTGAATGATTTGTCTTAAGGGATGCTACGACACCGTCTGTAGAGTGGCTACCCCCCTCGTGTTTTGAATGATTTGTCTTAAGGGATGCTACGACACCGTCTGTAGAGTGGCTACCCCCCTCGTGTTTTGAATGATTTGTCTTAAGGGATGCTACGACACCGTCTGTAGAGTGGCTACCCCCCTCGTGTTTTGAATGATTTGTCTTAAGGGATGCTACGACACCGTCTGTAGAGTGGCTACCCCCCTCGTGTTTTGAATGATTTGTCTTAAGGGATGCTACGACACCGTCTGTAGAGTGGCTACCCCCCTCGTGTTTTGAATGATTTGTCTTAAGGGATGCTACGACACCGTCTGTAGAGTGGCTACCCCCCTCGTGTTTTGAATGATTTGTCTTAAGGGATGCTACGACACCGTCTGTAGAGTGGCTACCCCCCTCGTGTTTTGAATGATTTGTCTTAAGGGATGCTACGACACCGTCTGTAGAGTGGCTACCCCCCTCGTGTTTTGAATGATTTGTCTTAAGGGATGCTACGACACCGTCTGTAGAGTGGCTACCCCCCTCGTGTTTTGAATGATTTGTCTTAAGGGATGCTACGGCATCGTCTGTAGTGGCTACCCCCCTCGTTTTTTGAATGATTTGTCTTAAGAGATGCTACGACACCGTCTGCAGAGTGGCTACCCCTCTCGTGTTTTGAATGATTTGTCTTAAGGGATGCTACGACGCCGTCTGTAGAGTGGCTACCCCCTCGTGTTTTCAATAATTTGTCCTTGAGCCGGAACACAGCTCTGCGTGTGGTCAGTATCGACTTTCTCGCATGAGGCAGAAAGAGCGTCCTTGAGGAAGCCAAGACAAAAATATTACGACCGGAAGAGAATAAAATAAATTAACAGTAGGCATGTAATGAGAAGGTGTTCCTGACATAGATGATAGTTTCCGCGTGGGAACTGTGCCACGGGGAATACCCGAAGCACGTGGCAAATGCTGGTGCGGAAGGGGAAAGCGAGGCGTGTGGTAGCAGCGAAGGCTGAAACACAGTCCTTAGGAAAGCAAGAATGTAGTTTTGTGGTAACACCACAGACTGGAACCGGGATAGCTCAGTTGGTATGCCGACTGGTTAGGGGCTGGACGGCCGGGGTTCGATTCCTGGTAGGGGCAAGCGATTTTTCTCCACTCAACATTGTCCAGATTGTCCATGGGTCCATGGGTGTCGGAGACTCATCCCCCGGGGGCAAAGCGGCCGGGGCGTGAAGCTGACCACTCACCTCCATCTAGTGCCGCGGTAAAGAATGGTGGAGCTATACATCACGTCCCCCATGAACAAGGAGTCCCCTTCAGGGGCTGTAACATCTGTGCCTTCGGGACCCCAGTGCTAGGGCACTCAGCCGCGCCCCACCAAAAATATCATACAATATTATAGAAACCACACAAATCTCTTATCTGAATGGTATCCAGGTAAACGTAGGTGGTACAAATGTTTACCACGTGATGGCTCCATTGCCAGCAAGACATAGTCCGCTCGTGTCCCCTGCCGCCGTCACTAAGAAGTGCTGACAGGTCGCCGCTGACGCGTTTGTTTGCTTTGTGTCTGGAAGCGCCCAGTCTCCCGTACAGTAACACGGATTAGAGGCATCACAGATGCTTTGTGTATCAAAGTGACTAAGCGACATATGAAAGTGCGCCCGTCAGAATCGAAGCTTAGCCGGGAAGGCTGTCTGCAAGACTGGACCAGCTGTTTCGCTGTCCTCTACGTACTGCACCGGCCCCGGGTGGAATGGGCCCCAGTTCCACTTTGTCCACCACAAATCCCAATGACCTGGGCTTGAACCCATGCCGCTGCGGTCGGAAGTAGGCAACTATGAGAACCGCCTTCACTTGTCTTTGTGCCTGATGCTGAACCAGGTACTAAGAACAAAGAATGTCTCTTCCTGTACCTACACTGTGTTTGCACCAGACCGAGCAACTGCGCAAGCGCAATGCAATCGAGGGGAAAACAATGGGAAATAAAAAAGGCAAAGCTATCCCTGTAACAGGCCGCGGAGGCCGACAGGGTTGTGAGACATCGAGGCTTCCACATTTTCTAGACAATCGGCTCACAGCTGGCGGTGAGATTGTCAGCTTTACTCGCCGGCCGCCCTTTACACTCAGGAAGATTCCTGGTACTAATTTCTGCTAAAGCCTGAGTCGACCAGAGGGCCATAGTGCGGCTGGAAGGGTCAGGTCAAGTTAAAATATCCACCTCATCGGGATTCGAACCCGCGACCCTCGGCTTGAAGGACGAAATGGATTGAGCACATATCAGGCATTGTAAGGGTCGGAGGGGGTGATAAAGGCGAACAAAATGTTAATTCCAAAATCTGAAAGAAAGAGGCTTAGACGTAGGGAGTAACAATAAACTGGATCTTAACGAACTAGAATATGAGGGTGCGGAACTTCGTCAGAATAACGTTCCAAGTTTGTGGGCTAGACGCGAGTGGTGCAGAACAGGGCGTGAGTGAGTTCACGAATGAGATTCACTGTTCTATACAGGGTGTTCAGTTTTGGGGGCTAGACGCGAGTGGTGCAGAACAGGGCGTGAGTGAGTTCACGAATGAGATTCACTGTTCATTCACTCATGAAATTTGGTATTGTATTTTGGGGTAATTCATCATGTGTTATAAGTGTTTTTCGTGTACAGAAAAGAGTACTTAGAATAATCACAGGTACTGGTTACAGGAACTCTTGTAGGCAGCTATTCGTGGCATTGAAAATTCTTCCTCTTCAGTCTCAGTATATTTACTCTTTATTATGCTTTGTGGTTGATAATATAAATTTATATCAGTTTACAACTGATATACATAGTAGAAATACAAGACATTGTTTTAATCTTAATTTTTATCAACCTATAGTTCATCTATCACTATACCTGAAGGGATCATACTGTATGGGTATCAGATTGTTTAATAGCTTACCCTTATATCTAAAGCAGTTGTTCACTAATTGTAAAGATTTTAAAATTGCTTTGAAGGATTTCTTGATTTCTCATTCATTTTATACTTTGGATGAATATTTTGAATGTTGCAGATCGAAGGATAGCATTTCCTTGTAGTAATTTATGTGGATGAGTACATATATGTCTGTGGTTTGTTGATTGTTACCTAAATTTGTGGTATTTTAAAAGTTATGATTGATATTATGTCAGTCTATTATAAATTTTGTATTTTAATTATGGTATTATTGCATGTGGCTTAATCCTGTCTTGCTTGTCTTGTTTTGTATCTTGTAACACACATGTATGTATATGTATTTGACTTGTTTTATTATCCCTTGGCTTGTTAAAGCCAAGTGGGATTAATAACGTGAGTAAGTTATTCTTAATGTATGTTTATTTTTATTAGATTCTTTTACCTTACATTATTATTTATGTTTATTGATTGATGTATATGATTTTGATCTTGTATATGCATATTGATATCTGTATTCAAAGGACAATTTCCACATCCTGGTTTTTTANGAACAGGGCGTGGGTGAGTTCACGCATGAGATTCGACTGTTCTATACAGGGTGTTCAGTTTTGGGGGCTAGACACGAGTGGTGCAGAACAGGGCGTGGGTGAGTTCACGCATGAGATTCGACTGTTCTATACAGGGTGTTCAGTTTTGGGGGCTAGACACGAGTGGTGCAGAACAGGGCTTGGGTGAGTTCACGCATGAGATTCGACTGTTCTATACAGGGTGTTCAGTTTTTGTGGGATAGATTCGTGTGATCCAGATTTTGTTCCGCTGGTCGTTTATCCTGAATAGTGTACTGAATATTCTGCGGATATTTCTTCATAAGCTGAGTAACTATCAGCTTTTCAAGGAAAGTCTCATCTACTAACTTAGTTTAGCATATTTCTAAACAAACAACCACAGGCTGCCTTCTCTTGAGGTAATCTAAAAACAGTTTTGTTTTTTGTTTTCGTACTGGCTACGGGCTGGGCGTCCGAGGGGTTGAATTTTCGAATCGCGGCAGGGTCATGAAATTTCTCTTATCCAAGTCGTCCAGACTGACTCTGGGGTTCACCCAGCCTCCAAAGGCTACTGGGAGCTCTTTCCCTGGAGGTAAAGCGGCCGGGGCGTGAAGCTGACCACTCACCTGCAACTGCTGCCGAGGCCAAGAAAATGTGGGTCTATACATCCACTCCCCCACACGCCTTCATGGCGCAGTGCTTAATTAGTTAAGCACAGAGAGTGTTATTTTTTTACGTTTTTGTCTTCGTACTGCGTGCTGCATGTTCAGTCTGTTCATTCCCTATTCAATCTGGCTACAAACATCAGCAGATGTAATCACTAATTAAATCATGTTAGCCATTAACCTCCTATTCCATAGGCAGCCAGCAAATACATTCGGCTTCCCCTTGTGTCAAACTTAGTTTCCACTGGCGTTCAACATTACATGCAGACAGCCACTGCTTTAACAGATCCTAGGCAAACACATTTGGCCTGAATTGAGGTTGAGTGAGGATTACCTTTTTATCACGCAGGCATGCAGCAAGGCGCTGTCTATCCAGACGGCGGTACGAGCAGGAATATGGCTGCCATCGCATTTGACTCCAAATGCAAGACGCTCTGTAGGAACAAGAGGAACAAGGCAGGAGCCAGCGGCCTGCAAAGAAATCGTCGCAGTATTACGAATGAGACGCAGAATGTGTTTACATTTCTCCCAGCTGCAGCTGCGAAACTCGGCGTACTACAACGACTGATCAGCTCTCAGCCTCATGCATTAACGTTGGACATGACAAAACATGGCGACACCGCGAACATTTCCGGTACTGAGAACAGGAAGTTACGTGCTAGGTGCAGCGGACAAATTGTGCAAACGTTAATCTGTACCTAGGGTTTGAGGTTCTCAGAGCTCTATCTTCGGGGACGTAACGCCACGTAGTCCGCTGAAATTCTGTCTATGTTTCGTCTTTCAGTTACTTTTCAAACCTTGAGGGTGGAGGTTATTTTTCCTCCGAAACCCAGGCTCACATGGCGTTATATCCTAGAACTCCTCGTTACTCTTTAAATTGTGTACGTATCTGTAAGGAGCCGGGATAGCTCAGTCGGTACAGAGACTGGCTACGGGCTGGAGGACCGAGGGGTCGGAGTTCGAGTCCCGATAGGGTCAAGAATCTTCTCTTCTCCGTGTAGTCCAGACAGGTTCTGGGGTCCACAAAACTTCCGGGGGGAGGGCCTTTCTCCGGGGGTAAAGCGGTAGGGGCGTGAAGCTGACCACTCATCTCCAGCTAGTGCCAAGGTCAAAAAAATGTGGGTCTATACATCCACTCCCCCATACGCCTTCATGGCGTTGTGCGTAATTAGTTAAACAGAGGTTAAACTTTACTTTTCCTTACGTATTTGTAATATTTGCTAGTTTGATATTACCGATATCTAAATACTTAAATAAGGTAAAATTATCCACGTGACTAATTAATTAGGCACCATATCAAGGAGGCGTATGGAGGAGTGGAGTTGTATGCACTCGTACATCATTCTTAACGTCAGCAATAGGTTGAGGCGAGCGGTCGGCTTCCTGGCCCGGCGGCTTTACCCACGATACCCATTGGATTGGAGGCTGGGTATGACCCAGAACTTGCCTGGACGCCGTGGAGAAAAACCTCTTGTCCCTTCTGATAATCGAACCTCGATTCCTCGGCCGTCCATCCATTCGGTATACCGACTGAGCCATCACAGCTCCAAAATATTTAAATGTGAGAAGGGTCGGTAAGGTTCTGCCCGATATTTTTGTCAGTGTGTGGTATCAGTCTCGAATATTTCATCTTGTGAAGCACAGGCTCTGCAGACCTAGGGGTGGGAAGGGCCACAGAACAGAAGGGTTAAGCGGGGATATACACGCTCCGGGCGAGACTGAAACCACAAGCACTTCTACTGGGCCTACGTCTTTAAGGCGACAAATCCAGTTTAGGACATGCGACCAATGAACCTTGTCAAGACAAAATGAAAATCCTTAAGACCATTCTTAGTCTCAGTGATCAATGTAGCAAGGGTCTCGGGCACGAAACGCAGTGAATTCTGTCACAGGGATGCTGATAATGTGTGAGAATATGACGTCAATGAAATGCGTGCTACACAGCTACACGGCACGTGTGCCAGATTTACTTACTCCAGGGAGTCGACCTCTAACCTCACTTCACACTCCAACTTTAGAAGCCTACAAAAGAAAGTTGGTAACATTGTTGTGACCACATTTCTGAGGTCAAATCCCGTCAAATTAATTCATGTTTCCATTAACACCTCATGATAAATTACTCACAAGTCTCCCAAACGAATCACACTTCAAAGCTATGAAACTTTTCTTTGTGCAGCTACGAGAGCTTTTACACCTTTCCATTATTCTTGTGAGACGCAAAGTATTTACACAAAAAATTAATTTCACATCTTGCGGATTAAGTTTACGCTGCGACAGCGCATGCGCTGAAACTTCTGCAGCAGGCAGGGGCTCCGCTTGTCTCTTGTGGCACAGTCATTGCCTTAGATGCCTGTTCATGTAGATTCTAGTCCCCGTCTAGAAGTCTGGGAAGCATAACTGTATATTGTCACGTGATGGAGTGACTATAGACGGGGTTTGGATTGGTAATCTGATTTACTGGACACTTTGACCCACAACTCGTGACTACACTTTACAGATCAGTATCACACAGACTAGTGTTCTCAGTCACGGTCTTCACTGCGCTGCCTAGTAGCGGCTTCCAATAGTGGACGTTTCTCTGCTTCCGGACTCACGTCCTCGCAGGCTGGAGGCAATCTCACACCAACGTCATACTCTTTTAACTCCTGTCTCAGGGTTCTCTCGCAATGGGAACTACTCCTAGTTATATAGCCACGGCACGGACCGCACAGAAAACACCGCTTCCAACAGTTCTATTGCTGCGTGCGTGTCTGCTGCGGCCATTACGTGACGGCTACTGAGCCAGTGCCTAGCAACTGCGTGTTTATAGAGCCGTTCCCTAGCAACGGCTATCTGTTGGCTTCACAATTCCGGCTTTCAGAAGACATACCATAATATGTTGCATTACAGCCGATGGGTCTCAATTATGGTCTGCGACTCCAAGGGAAAAATATGTATTGAAGGTACCTGAGAAAGGGCTCTCTGTATGAGCGCCAAAGGAAGAGAGGGGTGGAGAACGTGAGCCGTTGCGAAGCAGCGTAATTCTTATTGCTCACTAACTCCACGTAGCTGAGCCTTTCTTGAGAAGCCGCCAGTTGTGCAGCTACTCAAGAACTTCCCACCAATTTATGGAACCCGATGCTTCATTACCGTGTTCACAAGAGCCCTCCACTGGTCCCTGTCCTGAGCCAGGCGAATCCAGTTCACACCACCCCGCCCTTTCTCTCTAAGATCCATCTTAATATTATCCTTCCACCTAAGTCTATGTGTTCCTAGTGGTCTCTTTCCTTCTGGCTCGCCTATCGAAAGCCTATATGTATTCCTGACCTCCCTCATGCGTGTTACGTGCCCTGTCCATCTCATCCTCATTGGCTTGACACCTGAAGGGGATGTAAAGGGGATATGTTGCCCTATGCATGGGAGAAATAATAAGTGTATACACAAATTTCGTTGGGAAGTCTCAAATGAAGAGACAACAAGCGAGTAAGCTTATGATGTGCGTTAGGGAATCAGTCTTCGAGGTGTGAATACGAGTCACCCCCTATCTGCTACCCTCTTTTCTTCTTGGCCACACTGTAAGTAGGATGACGAGTAATCTACTGGGAAAGGTTTGGGAGGAAGCGGTTGAGACCTAATAGGGGTACCACCCTAACATTTCCCGGGGGGGGGGCTAGATAAAATCAAGAATAAAACTGAGTCCACATAGCAGGTGTCCCGACAGAAATTCGAAGTGAGAACCTCACGCATACAAGCGTATTTAATACTCATTTCTTGTTTCCCCCCAGACCATCTCATTGTAATCGGGTTAGTCCCCCGGCCCACACTTGCTGAGCAGTATGCCTACAGCTTCAGGCGCTACTCATGCGGTCCGGACTGGCTGTGGGCTCCGGGGCTCTTCCCTTCCCATACGTCTCATAACTGAGTCTGCTTTGACAGGGTCTCCGTTGAGACTTCATTCTCTGGCATCCCCATACAGGTCCGTCCCTACAGGTCTCTAACTATAAGCGCTTGAATTTTGCAACGTTTTCGGCAAAACAACTTGAAGGTTCCGAGCAGGTTAATGTAGCGGCAAGGCTATACACTTGTATTCTAGAGGTAGCTGGTTCGATTCTTAGCCAGGTTACAGGTTACGAAATGAATACGGGGGTAGTGCTTTCAAACAGGCCACGACAGCTTTCATGAGAATCGGTGCCTGCTTGACGCTGTTGACTGTGTAGTGCAGTACACGTCACGACGCGACCTTCTCTTGCGTCTCTCCGGCCAGAATTCCAGAACGAATGGAACAGTCGTGTCAAACAGCGGACTCGTACATTCCTGCATTGCCGGTGCGTAAAAATATTGCGTAGATAAAGCAGCAATTGGAGGGGGTGGGGGGAGGATGACCCAACTCCATTCCACAGGGCCCCCAGAGAATCCGTTACCTTGAGCGAATCGTGTATCGATTTCAATTGGACTGTTTCTCTTTGTGGAAAGATGATACAATTTACCTCCACGCTATCCCAGAACCAGGTTAGAGCGATACTTCTACTGAAGCTGTCTGGAAATACCGTGGGAGCTCCTCACACTGACGAGTAGAACGGTCTCCTGTTTCAGTGGAAATGACTGTCACAACGAACGTTTACTGCCACTAAACGCGGTGTAAGGAACCGAACCTGGACGTGTTTGTATGTAGCTGCGTACGGATACATGTACAGGTAGTCATATTTTGTTTTGTACCATCAGCCACCAATCGAGCTGGCCGCTTCGCCAGTTGCAGCACCGCAGGGGCAGTTCATTGGCTAGGAACTGCGGCTAAGTCGACGGGAAGAAGCGAGGGAAGGCTAATTGAGGGCATAAGAACATGGAGGAGTTCAAATTGAAAGTAGGGGTAGATAAAGAATACGAGAAATAAGAAGACGGGAAGCAGTAGCAGTAGAAACCGGAGAAGAATGGGTCAACAGTGTCAGAAGAAGTGAAGAAACCGGGAAATGAGGAGATGGGGAGGTTCAAGCAGAGTGAGAAGAAAGGGAACTTTTTGTTATAATTTAGTCAGATCAAACGATTTTCCTTAAAGTATTTATCGAAACTTTTTCGCCGATAAATCCTCATATCAGTACATCATGTTTAGGTGTACTGAGCACAAGAACACCCGTGAAGCAGGCGTAACAGAAACCAGAGGATGTGCAAGAAGGCGAGGCATAAAATTATGAAAATTCACTCGTTTCAGTGTTTTGATGCAGGGAAGAGAAAATATTCAGATTCACTTAATTAAGAACTTTTGATGACGAGAGTACTGCGCAAGCGCTATAGCTATAAACACAAACATGGGCCCAAGCTGGCGACACGAGCCCCAAGGTAGGAGCCGCGTCTTGTACGGCCATATGCTGCATCTTCAACCCCCCCCCCCACCTCCACCACAAATTCCCCAAGCGCCAGCACATTTTTCCCTTAGCTCCCAAGCAGCACTTCATACACTGCCTAATCACTGCACGAAGGAAACTGATACTAAGGAT